CGCCTGGGGTTCCCCGTCAGCAGCTCATCGACCCATTGCTCTCCTTTGAGAGCAGACGTGTGGCAGGGCTCTTTGATCACGTGGTTTACGGCCCACCAAGCAGCGCATCCGACAAGGGTTGCGATCGTCGCCATTGAAGCAAAAGTGCGCGAAATGGAGTTGGCGTTTACAAAATGGACCTCTGAGGTCCATCTTTAAAATGACGTTTTGACGCAAAAATGCCATAAATTGAAGTTGGTCCCAAATTTTACCAGACACGTTCGCTCCCATGTTCAATATGGCGTTTGCCTGAAAATGGGGTTTTCGGCCCCAGAATGGTAAAATCCGGCCCAAAATGTCATTTTCCGGATGTTGCCAGACGAGCCCTAAAGAGTATTACATTGCAATATGTACTGAGAAGTATATACATATACTAGTCCAATAGCTGGGCCAATTCAACGCCAGATTCCTCCTGAAGCTTGTCGCTAACAATGAGATTTTCCAGCTGGGAGCTAAAATCACATATCTCCAGGGCTTCAGATACTTCTGCTGCCAGTTCCTCGAAATTCGCACTAACGTCAGTCTCATCCAACTGCTGGAGTCCTGCTTCAAAGATGCCACGATCGACAGGGAGATCAAGGTCATATCTGAGCACATCATACGGAAAATACCTGGATTATCTGGGAAAAGTTACTATCCGTACATCCGGATCAAAGTTGGTTTGACATAACAAAATAGCACTTATTATATTGGATTGATTGAACTTGATCCAATCCAACGTAGATGACATAATTGGTTGAATTCGGGTGCGAACGTGTTTGATTGGTATTCAGCTCTCTCTCCCCTTTCCGTTCATATACAGGTAATCCCTGTCTTAATGGAAGTCCATCAAACTTTATACTGTTACATTCTATAGAGTAGTTTTTCATCAATATACAATGGTTTTTTGTGTGACACTGTCAAGCATTTCAAAAATTCAAACTTAACTTAAGTAGTGGTCTGAGCGTGTGGTCACTTATCCATATTGTCAAAAGTTCGTGTGGAATACCTGCCCCCCAACACGAAGTCACACTTGCAGCCGCTTGACGGC